ACTATTTCAGAACTCTGTCGCACTCTACTGATGATGTCACTCACTCTAAAATGTGAGAAAAGTTCAAAACTTCACCCAACAGTTGGAGGTACAGTTTGAAAAGTATAAAAGGTAGCAAGACAAGTGGAAGTAATATGAATAGAGGACAAGTGTGTGGACATTTTAAAGCAAAAATGGAGTCTCTAGGCAGAACACAGCCAGAGTTATGAGGCTGAGAAAAACGTGAAAATTTTGAAAATTTTCCCATTCATTTCAATGGGGCCAAATTTTGGACAAAAACTTAAATAACTTTAAAAATAAAAGTAGTAGAAACTACAAAAGTCATAGCCATCATGTCCCGAAGAAGCCGGATAGTTTGATACTTGAATGGTGGACGTCGCACAAACGGTCTAGGAGGAGAAGCGGTCCAAAAAACGCACGGAAGTAGAATAATAATAACTAGAAATTGCATTTACCTGCGGAAAATGCGTGTGAATGCTGACGGCTGAAATGTTTTGCAAAACACTGCTGAATGAAGAAGAATCAGCAGAAGATGATGAAGAAAAAGTAGGAGAAGTAGAAGATTAGGAGTAAAAGTAGGGAAGAAACACAGAGACTAAAAATACACAGCTGAGACTAACGAGACACAGGTGAGGACAATCAGGGCAATCACACAGGGAAACACACAATGAGAAAAAATGAAAACGTCTCCCTATTGGGTGCTCATTTCAAGGGCTTAAATTGAGAGTTGGTGGCTAAACGATGATTTTGTGAGCAAGAGGACAAATGGCCGAACGCGTCGATGTGATTTTCATGTCTGGGGTCCAAGAAATGTGGAAACCACAGCGATTTGAAAAGTTAGTCCCAAGAGGTGTGGTCAGTGAAGTCAGGCCTAAGTTTAACATTAGCCCAGGTGGAGATTTCTCGGGACCACCTGCCGCTTTGAAGCTCACAGTGGAAAAAGCTTTTCTCCAATTGTCCTGAAAACTCAATATGTCAGGGAGGACAAGTTTTCCTACATTTTGAGGGTAAATTTATGTGTGTGGGGCAAAGATTGTGGTCAGGAGAGCAATTTGTTCGGGAGATGTTGAAACTATTTCAGAACTCTGTCGCACTCTAAAGATGATGTCACTCACTCTAAAATGTGAGAAAAGTTCAAAACTTCACCCAACAGTTGGAGGTACAGTTTGAAAAGTATAAAAGGTAGCAAGACAAGTGAAAGTAATATGAATAGAGGACAAGTGTGTGAACATTTTAAAGCAAAAATGGAGTCTCTAGGCAGAACACAGCCAGAGTTATGAGGCTGAGAAAAACGTGACAATTTTGAAAATTTTCCCATTCATTTCAATGGGGCCAAATTTTAGACAAAAACTTAAATAACTTTAAAAATAAAAGTAATAGAAACTACAAAAGTCATAGCCATCATGTCCCGAAGAAGCCGGATAGTTTGATACTTGAATGGTGGACGTCGCACAAACGGTCTAGGAGGAGAAGCGGTCCAAAAAACGCACGGAAGTAGAAGAATAATAATAATAAATTTTTTTGCAGTAGATAACAATAGTGTGAATGCTTCCAGCATTCACACTAACTAGAAATTGCATTTACCTGCGGAAAATGCGTGTGAATGCTGACGGCTGAAATGTTTTGCAAAACACTGCTGAATGAAGAAGAATCAGCAGAAGATGATGAAGAAAAAGTAGGAGAAGTAGAAGATTAGGAGTAAAAGTAGGGAAGAAACACAGAGACTAAATACACAGACACAGCTGAGACTAACGAGCCACAGGTGAGGACAATCAGGGCAATCACACAGAGGCAGACAATGAGAAAAAAGGGGAAAACGTCTCCCTATTGGGTGCTCATTTCAAGGGCTTAAATTAACAGTTGGTGGCTAAACGATGATTTTGTGAGCAAGAGGACAAATGGCCGAACGCGTCGATGTGATTTTCATGTCTGGGGTCCAAGAAATGTGGAAACCACAGCGATTTGAAAAGTTAGTCCCAAGAGGTGTGGTCAGTGAAGTCAGGCCTAAGTTTAACATTAGCCCAGATGGAGATTTCTCGGGACCGCCTGCCGCTTTGAAGCTCACGGTGGAAAAAGCTTTTCTCCAATTGTCCTGAAAACTCAATATGTCAGAGAGGACAAGTTTTCCTACATTTTGAGGGTAAATTTATGTGTGTGGGGTGAAGATTGTGGTCAGGAGAGCAATTTGTTCAGGAGATTTTGAAACTATTTCAGAACTCTGTCACACTCTACTGATGATGTCACTCACTCTAAAATGTGAGAAAAGTTCAAAACTTCACCCAACAGTTGGAGGTACAGTTTGAAAAGTATAAAAGGTAGCAAGACAAGTGAAAGTAATATGAATAGAGGACAAGTGTGTGAACATTTTAAAGCAAGAATGGAGTCTCTAGGCAGAACACAGCCAGAGTTATGAGGCTGAGAAAAACGTGAAAATTTTGAAAATTTTCCCATTCATTTCAATGGGGCCAAATTTTGGACAAAAACTTAAATAACTTTAAAAATAAAAGTAGTAAAAACTACAAAAGTCATAGCCATCATGTCCCGAAGAGGCCGCATAATTTGATACTTGAATGGTGGACGTCGCACAAACGCTCTAGGAGGAGAAGCGGTCCAAAAAACGCACGGAAGTAGAATAATAATAATAACTAGAAATTGCATTTACCTGCGGAAAATGCGTGTGAATGCTGACGGCTGAAATGTTTTGCAAAACACTGCTGAATGAAGAAGAATCAGCAGAAGATGATGAAGAAAAAGTAGGAGAAGTAGAAGATTAGGAGTAAAAGTAGGGAAGAAACACAGAGACTAAATACACAGACACAGCTGAGACTAACGAGCCACAGGTGAGGACAATCAGGGCAATCACACAGAGGCAGACAATGAGAAAAAAGGGGAAAACGTCTCCCTATTGGGTGCTCATTTCAAGGGCTTAAATTAACAGTTGGTGGCTAAACGATGATTTTGTGAGCAAGAGGACAAATGGCCGAACGCGTCGATGTGATTTTCATGTCTGGGATCCAAGAAATGTGGAAACCACAGCGATTTAAAAAGTTAGTCCCAAGAGGTGTGGTCAGTGAAGTCAGGCCTAAGTTTAACATTAGCCCAGATGGAGATTTCTCGGGACCGCCTGCCGCTTTGAAGCTCACGGTGGAAAAAGCTTTTCTCCAATTGACCTGAAAACTCAATATGTCAGAGAGGACAAGTTTTCCTACATTTTGAGGGTAAATTTATGTGTGTGGGGTGAAGATTGTGGTCAGGAGAGCAATTTGTTCAGGAGATTTTGAAACTATTTCAGAACTCTGTCACACTCTACTGATGATGTCACTCACTCTAAAATGTGAGAAAAGTTCAAAACTTCACCCAACAGTTGGAGGTACAGTTTGAAAAGTATAAAAGGTAGCAAGACAAGTGAAAGTAATATGAATAGAGGACAAGTGTGTGAACATTTTAAAGCAAGAATGGAGTCTCTAGGCAGAACACAGCCAGAGTTATGAGGCTGGGAAAAACGTGAAAATTTTGAAAATTTTCCCATTCATTTCAATGGGGCCAAATTTTGGACAAAAACTTAAATAACTTTAAAAATAAAAGTAGTAAAAACTACAAAAGTCATAGCCATCATGTCCCGAAGAGGCCGCATAATTTGATACTTGAATGGTGGACGTCGCACAAACGCTCTAGGAGGAGAAGCGGTCCAAAAAACGCACGGAAGTAGAATAATAATAATAATAAATTTTTTTGCAGTAGAATAACAATAGTGTGAATGCTTCCAGCATTCACACTAATAAATTTTTTTGCAGTAGAATAACAATAGTGTGAATGCTTCCAGCATTCACACTAATAATAAATTTTTTTGCAGTAGGATAACAATAGTGTGAATGCTTCCAGCATCTATAAAACAATAAAGATGACATGACACTGATTTGTATACGTAACAGATGTAGACTCTCTGTCTAGCAAACAGTTGCTGACAACATATAGTTGGCTCCTCTCCTCCTCTCACAATTTAAAGATATGTCCACAAAATTATCAAGATGAAAATACGTACTAACAATGTTCATGTTAAAGTAAACACTCTGTGAGGCAGATATCTGCAGGATGTCCACCTCAAGTTCTTTTAAAGAACTGGATCACATTTAAGCTTTACACACTGACTTTGAGATATTTTACAAAGTGCAGTACAGAGCTTCTCCAGCAGGTGTCCACAGAGCTCTTTAAAACTTCTCCAAAGTTATAAATGTATTTCATCAAATCTTTAATATAGATTCAATCTCCTCAAGTGTTCAGTTTGACTTTGAAAATATCTTCTCTGTATCTGAATAAATACTCACATATCTTTAATGATCAATAATAGTTTTCTCAACATGGTAATAAAGTGTATTTACAGATGGGGCCGATAGTCTCCTTAGATGGACTCAGGTCGAGTTAATGGATGAAGATCTGTCCAGTGTACGGGGGCCACAAATGACTTTAAACTATAAGCCATGTTAAATGATGCATCTATTTTATTACCTAACTCATATCTAGTTTGTTCAAAACAAACATGAAACAAAAATCTAAAGATGATCATGATCTTCATTCATTTTAATTTGATTTATTTTCTGCACAAACGAGATGTGACATGTTATTCAGAGAGTTTTTAAGGGGAGATTTGGGCGAGAGAGAGAGAGAGAGAGAGACAGAGAGAGAGAGAGAGAGAGACAAAGAGAGAGAGAGACTGAGAGACAGAGAGAGAGAGAGAGAGAGAGAGAGACAGACAGAGAGAGAGAGACAGAGAGAGAGAGAGAGAGAGACAGAGAGAGAGAGAGAGAGAGAGAGACAGACAGAGAGAGAGAGACAGAGAGAGAGAGAGAGAGAGACAGACAGAGAGACAGAGAGAGAGAGAGAGAGAGAGAGAGAGAGAGAGAGAGAGACAGACAGAGAGAGAGAGAGAGAGAGAGTGAGTGCAGGAAAGATGACACAGGTCGGGTTTGAACCTGGGCCATCACTTCGAGGACTAAAGCCTGTGTACATGGGGAGGGCAAACCAACCACTTGTCCACCAGCAGACTGAAGCTTTTTATTCACGTTTTAGATGGATTTAATATAACTGTATAAAATGTATTTTTTATTGATCACAGTGATGATAAGCCCTATAAGCCATGCTAATAACATCACACAAGCACTCTAACCTTCATTTTTCTTTTTTCTTTCAGACTGTATCTTAAAGGACAGAACGAAGGAGGAGGAGCCAGGTGAGTCCTGATGACGTCATCCTCTGCCGATCACACACCTGATACCACTCACAAATATTTAAGATATATATGATTCACTTTATTGAACATTATCCTTCAGTTTGTGACGTAAAGACTCACAACACTTCAGTTAAAACTAAAGGAATCATAACTCATTAAATATGTTTCAGTTGAATTTATAATAATAAAATCATTTTTGTTAGTTGATATAACCACGTGTCCTCCACACCTAGCAGCTCTGATGAACGGGCTTCAGGTCAGGTGGTTTACAGGGTCCTTCAACATGTCATAGCCTGCTGGGACAAATAACGGGATCTTTTATTCACACATGTAGTTCACTTTATTTCCCTGTTTATTCCTCTTTTTATAAACATATTTAATCAGATATGTGTTGAACAAGAGAATCACATTTTATGTTTCTGCTGCTGTAAATAACCTGAATAATTTATTATTTATACTTTGTACACAGGTGCATGTTCAAAGCCATCTGTCGCCTCACTTAAGGAATCAAAGGACTGGTCTCTGCTGCAGTGTGAAGTTAAAGGAGCTTCTCCTCGACCTAAAGTGGAGTGGATGGACAGTTCTGGAAACATCCTTCATGCTAAAGAACCACAGGTCACAGAAAGAGGAGGCAGCTACGACATCATCCTCAACACCACTGTGACCAAGACCGACCACTACAGCTGTGTGCTCACACAGAATGAGATCTGTCATCAGATTTCCTCTAAGATCTCTGTGTACATCCACGGTGAGATTCTTCCTTTCAGTGATTTATTGTGAATATAATTTAAAACATACTGTGTTCTGACTGAACTCTGAGTATTTTATCTAAAAGCAGTTTAAAAAAAGGATGAAGTCACGTTGACCCATCAGGTAAATGTTTCCACCTGAGAGAAAAATGTAAATCTAAACTGTGACTCTGTTTGATTTATTAGCATTAATAGGAGAGATGATGAACAGGGACAGGTAATAAATAAACTATCACACATAAACAAAGTCCCAGTGAGCTGTAGTGAACATCTGTGTTGTCATTCTATCAGCTGATTGTGCTGAATAAACACAAATGATACAAACAGTCACAGGATGAAATGAGGAGCAGGAGAAAGTGAGACTATACAGCGCTTTTCTTTTTTCACTCTTTTGGAAGAATGGTTAGACCGGCCCGGGATTCACTGCCTGCGCTCTGTGCAGCTCGTGACCGTTGCTTCGCTGACATTCACTGAACAGCTGGTGATCTGTGCTTTGTGCAGTGACATGCGCACGTTACCACGTTTAGAAAAATAAACTAATAAACGTTTAAACTGTTGCTGATTTTTCTGAATGTTTAACGTTAAAACGTTTAGAAGTCACATCTCTACTGTGATCGCTGCACGACCATAGACTGTCTGCACGCCACCTCTGCCATCTCCGTGCTCTAATCAACCTGCTGCTGCATGTTTCCTGTTCTCCAGTTTGTTCTTCTTCACTCTTTAGTTCAACTACACGTAGCATTGATAGAAAGACACATATATACTCTGCTGCTCCGTCCAACACTTCCTCGTTTTTTTAACTTCTTTTGATCTCAGTAACTGTAAATTCCGTGTTGCTGGTCTGATACGTCATCAGGAGCGCCCCCTGAAGTCTGAATTACGACCTGGAACCTCTGAGAACCTTCAGTAGCCGAGTCCAGATCCAATATGGCTGCTACTTCCATCAACAGGGATCTTTAATCTGTAACTGCTTACAGGGCTCAACATTATAACTGGCCCGCTGGCCCGGATGAATGATTGATAGAGTCCGGGCCAGCTGATTGCATGTTCAGCTGGCCCGCTCGGGCCAGTTCAAATACTGCCTGAAAGAAAAAATAGACAGTAACACGTTCTCAATTTCACAGCGCTATCCTGTTATACCGGTGTTTTGTCAGTTATCATTTTAAAAACGTTGCGCTAATAACTGCTACAGCATCAACGTATTGAATCAATGTACAGTTGAAAGGCAGCCGACGGCTTCACTGCTGTCACTCCCGCGAGCGTGCTCACTACTCTCGAGTAGTACACTCACACACAGATCTTAGCACAGGTTTTGTCTGATAAAACACACGTTTGGTAAAACGTTTTTAAAACCATCAGATCAAGACAAAAGCTGAGCTAAAATCAGCATTCGAAGAAAAAACATCATCGGAAGAGTCGAGAGTGACAAGTAGCAGCCCTCGACCAAGACAACATATGAGGAAGCGTGAAGATCAACTGATGCAATTTATTTATTTCATTTCGAGCACCGTGAAACTACAAAAAAGGCAAAATAAAGCCAAAATTAACATTCAGGAAACAGTGTGTTCAATACATTACAGATATATAAATATTTACGATTCATTCCTAAACAAACTTTTCACAGTACAACCATTTTACTTTAAACAAACACAAACAATAACATCCACATCACAACAGGCCTGATTCAAACAAACAAACATCACATTAAACACTTAAATCACAACAATATTGCACAATCCCTTATAGTAGCAAACCTTCCAATTCATTCATAAATCATTCAATCAACACCTTCCCAAATTACGCACGTACCTCGCTCCGCTTGCCAAGGGTGCAAACTTTCATCTTTGGACACAGCGAGCTCCATAAACCTTCGAACCTTCATGCTTAATGGTAAACCATAAAACCCTGTTTTAGTATCGCGTTTAGAGCAAACAAACAAAAATTGACCATTACAAACAAATCAGCCGTGCACATACCGTAACTCCGCTCAAGCCCCCCTGCCTGCTCGCCGTGAGTGACAAGCAGAGTGTGACGCGTGCGCTAAAATGTGTAATTCATTTTCCGGGGTGGAGCAACAACAAACAACCCAAATAGGCTCCTTTGGCCACTAGATGTGTGTAAAGATCCAGATGTTGACGAGCAGGAGGTGAAGATGGTCCTTTGGGTGCTCAGAGTGTGCTCACATGTAAACAGTGTGAAGTGGATTCAAAGTTTGTCGGTGCTGATGAGCAGCTCGTCTCAGAAACAGGACGAAGCTCCAACATCAGCCTCCTCACTGCTGAGAGCCAAAAACCAAAAGGAGGCTGAGAGCCGAGCAGGAGGAGACTGAGCATCAGAGCAGAGCTGACGTCACACTGCTCACACACACACACACAGAGACACACACACACACACACACACAGAGACACAAACACACAGACACACACACACACAGAGACACACACACACAGAGACACACACACACAGAGACACACACACACACACACACACAGAGACACACACACACACACACACACAGAGACACACACACACAGACACACACACACACACACAGAGACACACACACACACACACACACACACAGACACACACACACACACACACACACACACACACACACAGAGACACAGAGACACACACACACATATACACACACAGACACAGAGACACAGAGACACAAACACACAGACACAGAGACACACACACACACATACACACACACACACACACACACACACACACACACACACACACACACACACACACACAACACACACAGACACAAACACACAGAGAGACACACAAACACACAGACACACACAGACACACACAGACACACACACACACACAGACACACAGACACACACAGACACACACACACACACACACACACAGACACACACAGACACACACACACACACACACACACAGACACAGAGACACACACACACACACAGAGACACAGACACACACACACACACACACACACACACACACACAGACACAGAGACACACACACACACACGCACAGAGACACACACAGAGACACACACACACACACACACACACAGAGACACACACACACACAGAGACATACACACCCAACAGAGACACAGACACACACACACCCAACAGAGACACACACACACACACACACAGACACAGACACACACACACACACACACACACACACACACACACACACCTGCTGTTCTCTGTGTGTCCAATGTGACGTCCAGTCTGATCTGAGTGTGATATGAAACTACACTCTGAGTGATACACAAACTTTTTGTTTCAGTTTCAGGTTCTTCACCTGGATATCGTGATATCTTTGGTCTGAGAATTACTTTGGTTGGTTTAGTTTTTGTGGCTGTTGTGCTGGGTTTTGCATAAAGCGTCACTGTATAAATCGTAAAAAGGTAAGATTAAATCATTTGCATCAGCATGTCCATGATAAAAAACAACTCTTTAAATGTCTTCTTTTAGAGTCTTGACAGTAGATTTATCTCCTCAGTCGTGCAGTCTGTTTTTTTACTCTCAGTCAGATTCTTGAAAATTATGTTTTTCTTCCCACAGGTTCAAATGCAGATTCAGTCTTCCAGTGGACTCTTGCAGCCATCTAAAACAACTCTGTGAAGTATGTGTGACCTTAAGTATTACTGGATTACATGGAGGGCAGAGGGGTGGCTCTGAATCAAGTTCAACATAAAGTTAGAGAGTATTTAGAGCTGTATTGGGCTTCATGAAAGTGTTCATCAACTTGTTAACTCAGGCTTTCTGCTTCAGGCTCTGAGCATCGACGCTTCTTCTGCACAAAATGGAATGATCACAGGCTGTCTGCTTCTGTCAGTTTATATATAACTTTAGTTTGAAGTTGTAACGTTTTTTTATTTTATTGTTGTGTCACATACATTTACAGTGGGTACGGAAAGTATTCAGACCCCTTTACATTTTTCACTCATTGTTTCATTGCAGCCATTTGCTAAAATCAAAAAAGTTCATTTTATTTCTCATTAATGTACACTCAGCACCCCATCTTGACAGAAAAAAAACAGAAATGTAGAAATTTTTGCAAATTTATTAAAAAAGAAAAACTGAAATATCACATGGTCATAAGTATTCAGACTCTTTGCTGTGACACTTATATTTAACTCACATGCTGTCCATTTCTTCTGATCCTCCTTGAGATGGTTCTGCTACTTCATTGGAGTCCAGCTGTGTTTAATTAAACTGATTGGACTTGATTAGGAAAGGCACACACCTGTCTATATAAGACCTTACAGCTCACAGTGCATGTCAGAGCAAATGAGAATCATGAGGTCGAAGGAACTGCCCAAGGAGCTCAGAGACAGAATTGTGGCAAGGCACAGATCTGGCCAAGGTTAGAAAAGAATTTCTGCAGCACTCAAGCTTCCTAAGAGCACAGTGGCCTCCATAATCCTTAAATGGAAGAAGTTTGGGATGACCAGAACTCTTCCTAGACCTGGCCGTCCAGCCAAACTGAGCAATCGTGGGAGAAGAGCCTTGGTGAGAGAGGTAAAGAAGAACCCAAAGATCACTGTGGCTGAGCTCCAGAAATGCAGTAGGGAGATGGGAGAAAGTTCCACAAAGTCAACTATCACTGCAGCCCTCCACCAGTCGGGGCTTTATGGCAGAGTGGCCCGACGGAAGCCTCTCCTCAGTGCAAGACATATGAAAGCCCGCACAGAGTTTGCCAAAAAACACATGAAGGACTCCCAGACTATGAGGGAAGATTCTCTGGTCTGATGAGACCAAGATTGAACTTTTTGGCTTTAATTCTAAGTGGTATGTGTGGAGAAAACCAGGCACTGCTCATCACCTGCCCAATACAATCCCAACAGTGAAACAAGGTGGTGGCAGCATCATGCTATGGGGGTGTGTTTCAGCTGCAGGGACAGGACGACTGGTTGCAATTGAAGGAAAGATGAATGCGGGCAAGTACAGAGATATCCTGGAAGAAAACCTCTTCCAGAGTGCTCAGGACCTCAGACTGGGCCGAAGGTTCACCTTCCAACAAGACAATGACCCTAAGCACACAGCTAAAATAACAAAGGAGTGGCTTCAGAACAACTCTGTGACCATTCTTGACTGGCCCAGCCAGAGCCCTGACCTAAACCCAATTGAGCATCTCTGGAGAGACCTGAAAATGGCTGTCCACCAACGTTCATCATCCAACCTGACAGAACTGGAGAGGATCTGCAAGGAAGCATGGCAGAGGATCCCCAAATCCAGGTGTGAAAAACTTGTTGCATCATCCCCAAGAAGACTCTTGGCTGTACTAGCTCAAAAGGGTGCTTCTACTCAATACTGAGCAAAGGGTCTGAATACTTATGACCATGTGATATTTCAGTTTTTCTTTTTTAATAAATTTGCAAAAATTTCTACATTTCTGTTTTTTTTTCTGTCAAGATGGGGTGCTGAGTGTACATTAATGAGAAATAAAATGAACTTTTTTGATTTTAGCAAATGGCTGCAATGAAACAATGAGTGAAAAATGTAAAGGGGTCTGAATACTTTCCGTACCCACTGTATATGCCCAGCCCGCGTGGGCTTACGTGACACCATAAATTAAAATGTTCCAGGATCAGAGTGCACTCAGTAAACTATATTCATTGTCAAGAAACAAAAAGAGAAAGTCAAACTAATTAAACAGAATATCCTGTCTTCTATTCCAGGTGTTTGAAAATGTTCAAACTTCAGAGAGTTATGCAACTGTTGAATTTTTTTTTACCATATATGTTATTTTTCTTTTATTATCACTTAATCTTTTTGTCATTTCATTCATATCATATAGTCAATACGACTTTAGTTTTTTTGTGCTTTTACATATCCTGTCAATCCTACACACACCCGCGGTGCCTATGCACCTGTGAGGTCAGGATAAGTGTGCCATACATTGAGCAAAACCACATACGAGCTCGTAGGTGTATAGCATTTCTGTGAATCTGCCTGGTTCAAGCTAAAACCACATATGAACTTAGTATCACCTGTGTTACCTTAATGCTTTGACATTAAAACCACATATGAACTTAGTATCACCTGTGTTACCTTAATGATTTGACATTAAAACCACATATGAACTTAGTATCACCTGTGTTACCTTAATGCTTTGACATTAAAACCACATATGAACTTAGTATCACCTGTGTTACCTTAATGATTTGACATTAAAACCACATATGAACTTAGTATCACCTGTGGATGTATCACGTTTCTGTGAATATGAATTGTTGAGGTTTTACAGAATCTTGAAAAAGAGACCGTCTGGCTATAAACACGTTGTGGAAAAGCTGATCGAGGTTCTTTTTTACTTTTCTAAAGGACTCCACGTCACTCTGACTTTTGAATCCCCATTTTGGGACTTAGTCTCTGAGACCAAGATCTTTTAAAACCTCAAGTGTCTACACTCTCAGGTTTAGACTTTGGTCTTTGTGTTTTGCTTTTACTTTTTACATTTTTATATTTTTACTTTTACTGTTTTGTATTTGCATTTGGAATATCATCTGAAGTTTTTTAAATAAATTTTCGGAAACTTTTTGAAATCATTTTCTGACTGAAATCATTCACACCACAAAGACTGGAGTCTCCCTTAAGGACCCCGTGAACCTCGGAAGGTAAGCTTGAGCAGTCACACCACGGCACACTTCTACTGACTTTTACTACACACCTCATACACACCTAACATCCCAGTAGGGAGAGATTACAGTTATTCCCTCTCCGGGGGGTAATCTAGAGTCCTGTACCAGGGGTTATTCTTGAATCTAATTATTCTAGAAATGAATGTTAGGCAGATAATCCTGGAGCTGTGATTATAACAAGTCCTCTCTCCTCCAAAGGGTGTTAGCGGAGTAATTTTACAAAGCTCCTGGTACTAGGAAAGAGGAGACTAGCGGCTGGTAGGGAGTGAGCTCTCACTTAGTTCTAGGAAAGAGGAGACTAGCGGCTGGTAGGGAGTGAGCTCTCACTTAGTTCTAGGAAAGAGGAGACTAGTTAACTAATGGGTGGTGAGCTTCAGTGAGCTGTAGTAAAGTTATTCACCCCTTTGTGCATGTCCAGGACATATTACAAAACAAAATGAGCAAGTTTAAACACATCAAACTTAAACAGCCATTCCAGTTTTTACACATCTGTCCTCCATAATATTTCAGAATTTTGACGAGCTACTTTTTTTTTGTATTTTGTGATGGACTTTTAACACATTTTTATGTAAAAGACTTGTCTTTTTTTTTTCTTTCCAGTTTTATTAAAGTGTCTCAAAACAATATGAAATCTCTCTCCAGTCCAACATGTTAAAGTGTCTTTGAGCGACACACTGAACCCGTGCCATTAAAAAGTGCTTCATAACTGCTGTAAACATGAATAATCAAAGTGCTTCATAACTGCTGTAAATATAAATAATCAAAGTGTTTTATAACTGCTGTAAACATAAATAATCAAAGTGCTTTATAACTGCTGTAAACATAAATAATCAAAGTGCTCGTAGCTCTGAAAGGTTCAGAATAACCAACATGTAGAATTAAAACCATAAAACTTCAGTTTATGCTGAAAATAAATGATGAGTGAATATTTTGCAGCTGAAGTCAAATATAATGTGATGAAGGTTTTATTTTTGTGTTACTGATATTAATAATGATGAGTCTGTGTGAAGTGAACATTAGAACCTTCAGGATTTATTAACCAGCGACCCCTCTCATCCCCTGCACTCCCAGTTTAGGTTTCAGACGCTTCAGACTGCCACGAGTCACAGACCATGATTACAAACAATCACTGGTCCCAAGTGTGATTCCATTATTACATTTATAAAGTCAAAAAAACATAGCCCCCCCCCCATACCCCCAAACTTTACTGCTCAGAAAATGTTGTCTTGTTTGTCATCATGTTTTCTTTGTTGTGAAGACAAAGACAGTTTTCCACATGGTGACAAAGAAAGTCCTAACCTGTTTGAGGACTGTTGATTCAGACTGCTTTAGTTTGAGCCCGGTGTAAACTGGACTCTGACTGTTTCCTGTTGTTGACTGAGAGGTTTGACTTCATCAACGTTCATGTCTGTTCACGCTGTAGACTGATGATGATGATGATGATGATGATGATGATGATCTTGGAGGTATCAAGTCATTTCACACAGAGCTTCTTCATTTCTGTACAAACGTTTGAATAAAACATGAAAAATGTCAAACTGTGTCTTCTGACTGTCGAACACTGAAGTGATTTTTACTGACAAGAAACAAACAAAGCAGCTGCTCTCAGAGTTTAATTCACACACTTTAACTTTTGTCCTCTGACTTGATTTGAGGATAACAAGAGGAAACTTTACAGAACTCGCCATCTGCAGCATTAGAGGTACCTGGCTATCAAATCTTCAGAAGAGATAGAGTGATATCAAAGGGAGGCGGGGTCATGGTTTATGTGAAGGATAGTATTCAATGTAATGAATTAACTTGGTCAAATTGTGAGCTGAATGTATTGGCTTGAATATCACTTTGTCACCACAAATGTCTTTTGTCCTGATTGTAATTTACCGCCCACCCTCTGCAAATAATGCATTTTATGAAAAGTTCCAAAACATGCTTGTAGAGTGCAATTTAAAAAAGAGGTGATAATAATGGGCGATTTTAATGTTAATTGGGAAGATAAGGCGACTAGAAAGAACCTCAAACAAATAACTGATGGTTTAGATCTCTCACAGCTGATCAAGGGTCCAAGAAGAATAACCCAATCCACCAGAACTCAGATTGACTTGGTATTTAGTAACAGACCTGAGAGAATGACTAAATCTCTCAATATGATCACTGGGATATCTGACCACAATCTTATTCTGGTGATCAGAAAATTAACAAAAATGAGATTTAGCCCCTCAATTGCCAAAGAGAATGAATCTCTTAGAATTCC